TTCCTCCTGTAAGATTTGTGTCTATTTTTAAGTCTTGACATACCTCTCTTATGCATTCTCTACTAGAAAATGCCTTACAGAAAAGACAATATCTTACTTTTTTTCTTATAAGTACTCCACACAGAGATTCCACACTCAGGACTCTATGGAAGACCACATTTTCTTAAGAGAGCCATGTTGCAATCTCCCATTCCACATGCTCTGGTTAGGACCTGCTGAGATATTGGGGTCTCTGTTGCTTCCCTTTGAATACAGGTGGGAGCTGTGGCTGCTCCACTCATGGAAATAAGGTAGAAGTGATGCTATGTGACATCAGACTGGGTCACAGAAAGGAGAGAGCTTCTAGCTCTCCTCTCTTTGCAGGACAGTCATTCTGAGAAAGACAACCACCACATTGAGAGGAGGGTCCAGAGTAACTAATGTGGAGAGGAACAGAGGCCCTGGCTAGTATCTTCCACTGACACACAAATGAACTAGCATTCAGATAACTGGTCTCCAGCCCTCAGGTCTTCCAGGAGAGGCTTCAGACTTGATGTAGTAGACATAAGCCTGACAATAGACACTGCCTGTTTCATATCCCAGGTCCAAAGAACAGAGTAGCAAGATAAGTTAGTGATATTAGGTGGCCATAGGAACTGGAGAAGGTGTCATAAATATGGCTACATTATGAACAATTCCAAAGTTCCAAAGTCTCTGAGAAAAACTCAACAGTGTCTCCCTTATGCCCTGTCAGTAAGGTGACCGATGCTTTGAAAGTCACACCATCTCCATCACAGGCTTCCTCACTGCTTGACACAGGCTCAGAGTTTCCTAGCTATGATATCTATTCTCCATAATGACCCCCAAGAGACTTATTTCTAAACTAAGAAATGAGAGAGAGTACGAGAGTGTATGGAATTTGTCCAAGACAAACTGGAGCGCAGATTGCAGAGCCTAAGGGCAGAGAGACAGGTGACCTGTCCCAAATGACTCAGCTGGTAAAATAGAACTGAGGCTGCAAATCTGGGGAATATTGACCCCTTTAACAGCCATTAGCAATTGTCCAACTGATTTCTGAATGAAATGTCATAAAAGAAATGCCTTGGACCTTGGGATATTGAAGCTCATCTCAGGATCAAGACAGATGATTTAGAAGTGAAATTTCTCAGCATGCTCCAAAGTCTTAAGTCTAAAGAAGCTTCAGAGCTTAAGACAGAGTATAAAAATGATAATGAAGCCCTGACAGGTGTTCCCTCTTCTTTCCCTTCATCATAATAGAACTCTTAGCTCCTGTAGGGCTGTGGCTCCAATGTACATCTTTCCATTCAGTCTCATGACCACTGTCTCTCAACCACATTTCCTTTATCAAGGTCAAGCTGTTCTGGAAAAAGAGGAAACAAAGGGGAGAGCCAATGACAAAATGCTTCTTCCAGAACTTACTAGCATCCCATCCTAGCAGGAGATATGTCTAAGTCACCAGCTACTCACATGTGAGAGGAACTTTCCCCATCCTAGAGCAGAGTGTCTGTCACCAAGTACAGTGTTGGTGACTACACATAATAATGGCAGACATCCACCACTGCTTCTAGAGAAGGAACCAGAATCTTCTCTACAAATACTAGCCTACTTATGATCAAGGGCAAAGACCCCAACCAGACGGGACCTGTGCTCTACCAACTTATCTGATTCTGAAATGATTGGGCAAAAGGCCTTCAGCCTGACAAAGAACTAAAAAGAAAGCTTTATTCTCAATTTCCATGCAGTCTATACATTTCTATACAACTTTTAATTCTCTGCAGAGCCTCAGGAACTAACCTTAGCCATCACAGAAAGGAGTTCTTTGAAGTGGAGTGAGATCTTCCCTAGGGAAGAGACACAGACAGGCCTGGATGTGCAGAACTCATAACTGATAGAAAATCTCAACCCAAAGAAAGGAAATGTTAAATCTCTCTCTAATACTCTTCCTCTTTCACTCTCTCTCTTTCCCCCTCTCACCTCTCTCTCACAGACACATGTATACACACTTCTTTTGGAATAATGCATATTTAGAACATTCTAGCAAAAGAAGACCTCACAAGTTGCTGAGAGAAAATTTCCAACCTCTTGCACCAATATAACCCATACAACAAACAATCAGTTGTGGTGTGTAGGCTTCAGTGTATTATCCACACCAGGCTTCCTAAGGGCCAGTAGCTGGGAGCCCCCTCAGCGGCTATAGCCTGTGTAGGCAGGGCAACAACACACCTCTGCAGGACACTTTCTGTGTGTGTATTGTTCTTAGAACATACAAGCAATGGTTGGAGTTCAAGATGCACTACCCCCAAAACATGGCAGCTCTGGAGTTGAGAAACTAACAAAAGAGGAAGGTCACTCTCACTTTCCCCTCCCCAAAGCAGATCCTAAGGCTCTCATTGCCCACCTGATACTCAGTAAAGCATCGTGATCTCTGAAGTCACAGGAGAGGAATACAAGAGAAGCTGAGCAAAAAAAGGTCGAGCAGCCGGTGGCTGCTACTAGCTACTCAGGAGGTTGAAATCTGAAGATCATGGTTCAAAGCCAGCCCAGGCAGGAAAGTTCTTGAGACTCTTATCTCCAATAAACCACCAAAAAACTAGAAGTGGTGCTGTGGCTCAAGTGGTAGAGCACTAGCCTTGAGCTGAAGAGCTAAGAGCTGAAGGACAGCACCCAGGCCCAGAGTTCAAGCCCCACAACCAAAAAAAAAAAAAAAAAAAAAAAAGGCCAAGCAAAGTAACTTCAGGCACTTTGGCTAGTCCTACTTCTCTGTCTTGGGTCTCCACTTGCTTATGAAGGTTTCCTGTCTAATGTAAAATTTACATTAAATAAACTTGTATGCCCCTCTGGTTATCTGCCTTCTGTTACAGGGTAAGGAAAGATATTTCTTTACTCCTCCATGACCAGGAGTTCCCTGGGGCAGCCTTCTTCCACATGCTTCTATCTTCCCACATCATTCCAAGGAGTTCAAATCCACTCCCCTTTTCCCACTGCTATAAAAGTGCTCTCCAAGAACCAGTTGGAGTCACAATGATAGACATGAAAACAAAGAATTGTCCCAGCAAGGCAAAATTTACATCTGCAGAAGAGTGCCCCAAATCTGACAAGCATGCATACAGAGCAGGCAGGCTGCCCCTATTTATCCCTAACACAGTAGGCCCTGCCCCTGTGCTCAGAATGGTTGAGCTCAGGTTCACCATTTGCTTGTGATTGGTTGGTTTGAATAGGGTAAAATGTACTTATGTAAAGTGACTTTGAACTAATATTAACTGTACACAATCTCAAGCACCCTCTTCTTGCACAATCTGAGGTGTGTCTTCCATCCATCTTGAAAAGAAACAAGTTTAAGACAAAACCTTACATTTCAAAAACACTTCCTTATCCCAAAGCAGTTCCTCTTTTCCTAAGAGCCAAGCCGCCAGGTCAAAGCGGGAACTGCTATGCAACACCCTTTGATTGAAAACACAGTTTTTCTCAAAGTACTTACAAGGAAGCAAACTTGTTTTGAATAAAGTAATCCTTTGTGTGTTTGTTCAGAGCTAACCAGACATTCCCCCACCCTTACTGAAGGGTGGTGCTTTGGGGAGGCTGTGAGCACAGAATAGAGACTGGAGGGACAGAGCTTGTCACTCTATTTTGGACTAGGTCTAATTTTAATTTAAAATTACAATACTAATTTAATTTAAAATTACAATACTATCTGATATATGCAAATAAGAAAGAGTTGATCCTAAAAACAAGCATTTGTAGTACAGGAGTGCACTCACTGGTTGTTTAAGAAACAAGCTGTACACAAGCCAGGATACCATAAAGACACTTGCACATCCATGGTCATTGCTGCACTATTCATAATAGCCAAGTTATGGAAACAGCCCAGATGTCCTACAGTAGATAAGTGGATCCAAAAACTGTGGTACCTATACACAGTAGAATTTTACACAGCCATTAGAAAGAATAAGATTATATCATTTGCAGGGAAATGGATGGAGCTAGAACAAATCATATTAAATGAAGTAATCCAAGCTCAGAGAGATAAGCAGTGCATGTTTTCTCTCATATGCAGAAGTTGGATTTAAAATACACCAGGACATAATAAATTATACAGGACTTTAGCTATTCGCACAGTGAGACCAAAGGAGGATACTCGTAGGGAAAGAACACAAAAACACAATGCCTATGTTCCTCTGATCACCTCTGATCCGGGAAATGAAAAAAAAAAAAAGAGGTTTCCCCTTTACTGTTTTTTTTTCTTTTCTTTTGTTTGCTCATGTATCTGTCTTTGGGTGGGTAAGGGGGGAGCACAGAAATGGAGAGACAAAGGGTCAACAAGTTCAGCAGTGGTACTTACTATACACTATGTTGAAAATGAACTATATAATTTGTGGGTAGGGATGGAGGGAAAAACTGGGGGAGAGCAAGGGAAGGAGTAACATTGTCTAAAAAGAAATGTGTTCTTTACTTGACTTATGGAACTATAACCCCTCTTCATTGCTTTTACAATAACAATAAAAAATTTTAAAGAAACAAGTTATGTTCATATATATGCTGCCGTTAAGGCAAAAGTAGAAATTCGGAAGCAAGATATATATCTGTATCTATAGCTATAGATAGATACAAATATAGCTATCCTTGCCACTCTCAGATGTACCAAGGCAGAAGGAGGAGGCCAACATGGCTGGGGTAGGGTCTCACAGAGTCCTCAAATCACACACAGAACACCCCTTGCTTACATGCTCATTCTTAGGCATGTTCAGACATCACCTCCAAGTCCCTGCTATCGATCATCCCTTTTTGTATTTGAATATAAATATTCCACCTATTGCCACTATTCCTCAAAAGCACAATTTGCTCTTAACAATGAAACAATTAGGACCACATCTCATCTGTGCCATAGATACCACAGAAAAGTAGGAACCAAAAATAAACTCAAAAACTTCAAGACTTGAGCAAACCAAAAGCTCTAAACTAACCCAACATATTTCTTTAAAAGATAAAAAAAAATGCTTTACCTGTGGCTGTAACGAATGGCTATTGTCAACCCAAGCTGTAATTAAGAAGAAAGAGAAACACAAATTAAATAAGATCAAGAGCCTGCTGAATGCACAAGCAAATTAAGCCAATATGGGCAATTATTTTCTAAACATTTCCTTAAGTGACTTGTGGTTAATGCTTCACAGAGAATATCAAGTCATAGAGCTTTGGTTTCCATTACTTTTAAAGAACCATTGTGTTTGAAAGGGTATAAAGAAGTGCAGAATGTTTTACTATGGATCAGACAGAAACATCCTCAGGAATGACTGGCAGAATGAGGTTCTTTTAGCTCTGGGATAACCAAGAAGGGGTGGGATGGCAGCATGTGTCTGACGCCAGGGTTAGATTAGGACAAGAAAGCCACGAGTAGGTATCCTTTCACGTCCATCCCAGGAGCAAAAAGTGGAGCACAGTCCTTGGCACAGGCTGAAATTTTCTTAAGAAAGATCCAGAAACACAACAAATCAAAGAAAGGTTGGACAAATGGGATTGCATGAAGCTGCAGAGCTTCTGCATGGCAAAGGACATGGCTAGTAAGATCAATAGAAAGCCTACAGATTGGGAGAAGATCTTCACTAGCCATACAACGGACAAAGGTCTCATACCTAAAATATACTTAGAACTCAAAAAATTAAATCCTCCAACAATAAATCCTCAAAGAAACAACTTCCTGATTAACAAGTGGGCTAAAGAGAAACTTCTCTGTAGAGGAAATAAGAATGGCCAATAGACACATGAAGAAATGCTCAACTTCTCTAGCCATAAAAGAAATGCAAATCAAAACAACATTGAGATTCCACCTCACCCCAGTTAGAATGGCTATATAACAACAGATGCTGGAGGGGATGTAGCCAGAAGGGAACCCTACTGCGTTGTTGGTGGGAGTGTAAACTTGTTCAACCACTTTGGAAAGTAGTGTGGAGGTTCCTTAAAAGACTATGCAATAGAGCTCTCCTATGACCCAGCAATCCCACTTTTGGGCATTTACCCAAATGTTTACAAACAAGGCTACACTAAAGCTACCAGCACAACTATGTTTATTGCAGCATTATTTACCATAGCTAAGATATGGAACCAACCCAGATGCCCCTCAGTAGATGAATCAAGTAAATGTGGCATTCCAATATGCATATATATATATATATATATATATATGCATATTGGAATTCCATGTTTCCATCAGAAAGTATGATACTGTCCCATTTGTTAGGAACTGAAAAGACTTGGAAAAAAATCATATTAAGTGAAGTAAGCCAGACCCAAAGAAACATAGGTCCCATGGTTTCCCTTATTTGCAATAATTAGTATACATCTAGGATAACCTTAGCAGATGAGCAGAATAGTTGAATACTTATATACATATGGCCATATAAAATGACGCTACATGAAATGAACTGCAAGATATGGACACAAGAGGTTTTACTTTGTTTTGGTTGTTTTTAAGGTACTGTGTGAATTTTTTGTTTCTTTTGTATGTTCTTTCCCCCTGTTGTCGCTGTATTTGATTTTGGTACCCTGGTATTGTATATGCATTTATTTGAATTAGGGAAGGAAAGGGGAACAACAGAATGGTGAGACAAAGGACAAGGTGGGAACCAATGCAACAGCGACATACACAAGGCACTACGTTGAAAATGATCTATACAACTTGGGGGTGTGGTATTGGGGGAGGTAAAGTAAGAGAAAAATGAGGCAAGGGGTAACAACTTTGACAAGAAGTGTACTTCTTACCTTCCTTATATAACTGTAACTCCTCTGTACATCACTTTGACAATAAAAAAAATAAAGTAAAATAAAGAAAGGGGTGGGGTGGGGTCAAGAATGAAGGGGTAGAGAAATGAAGAGGAGAAGGAGGCAGAGTACAATTTAAAATTCAATGTCTACCCTGTAAAATTAAGAAAGCAAAGGAAGAGGTGGGCTTGGGAAGGTTTGGTTGAGAATATTGAAAGGGGTGGCATCAACCAAGATGTATTGTATTCATATACTGCTTTGTTAAATGGCAACTCCTTTGTACAACTACTTAAAGATAATACAGATTACTAAATTAATTTAAAAATTAAATTAAAAAGTGGAGCCCAGGCTATCAAAGAGAAACTGGCCTGTAGGACCAGGAGTGACCTAGAAATCAGCTCAGCACTTACAACCCCACCAGCTCATGGGCAGTATGCCTCAATTCTGAGCAGCAGAGAAACTGACTCAAAAATACATACGTGACCTGAAGAGATCCTGCACTCTTCTAGATACAGAGGCCACAGGAAACTGAGGTGGAACTACAATTTCTCCCTTCTCCTGAAGGGTTGTGGTGCAAACCCCTCTAGATTATTTGGGGAGTCAGTCAGAAGGCTGGGAAGTTAGCCTATGCACAAAAAGGCAGCAGCCAATCACAACAAACACATGTCAGTCAACCAGATTCCTGTGTATCAGCAAGTCACTGAGTCTCACAGACAGCCTTTATTTCCCAACTGCAAAATGAGCAAAATAGTGATTATCTCACAAGAGTAAGATAACCATGAAGCAATTTTTCTGTAATTGACTAGTTGACTAGGTGTACCTACTCTCTGACAGACTAAAATAAAACTCTTTGAATATTAGCAACCACTACTAGTACTATATACAGGCAATGCTCAATTTATGAAAAGGTGCATGTGGGCCAATAATTTTTCAATTGTTTTTAGAACTTTGGAAATTATGTAAAAAACAATGATCAGTGTCTAATGCCCTATTCAACAAGTCCCTTGAATGTATGTGTCCAGAAGCACATAAGAGCTAGAGACTTGACTCAAGTGGTAGAGCAACCATGGCCTAATAATCATGAGGCAAGTTCAAACACCAGTACTGCCAAAAATCAGAAAATCTTGTGTCATCTCTAATACCTTTTCTGTGCAAGAAGTCTAAGATACACTTTAAGATCCCCAAATATCATGGTTTCTTTGAGAGTCTCCAATATGGTTAGGAGTGGAGATAGAAGATGTCATTTCTGATGTTTCCCTAGGTGGTGTAAGGTAACAGATGGGACTCCAGCAGAGGTACAAAGTAGAGAGAAGACAAGGAGAGGGGAAAGTGGCTGAGCTAAGAAAGCCCAGTGTCTGAGCTAAGAAATCCTAGTGTCACTGTCGAGTTTGACATACTGCAGAATCCCTTGGCTAGTGCTGGAATATATTAGTTGCAGGACAGTTCAACCTTGTGTTGTTACTGCAGGCATGGAAAAGCAGGACCAAAGATGGTGTGAGTGATCAGGAGTCAGGGCCAGTTCGCCTCAGTTCACTCAATGGTCTATCTCAACTAAAGTACATTTTCCTTGGGATTTAAGCAAACAGAAGAGAAAGATGTAAAATGTAAAAGACAAGGAGTAAGTTACTTTAGGGAAAAATGAAAGAAAAGAAAAGCAAAAACTATAGCCAGAAAGGTCAGGATGAGTGATTTAACAGATTTCACAGGCTGGGTCACTTTACACTTCCTGAGGTTAAAAAGTTCTGGATGATAATTCAGCTAATTATAAGATAATTTTACTGAATGAATATTTTGATGTTTTGGAGTGCAGTTTAATTGGTGACTTTTCTACAGTTGAAAGATAAGCCTTTGCTGGAATAAGGAGAGGAAATGGGGATGGGAGGGGTAAGAACAAGAAGAAAGCTGAAAGTTATTCAATGGCAGCTGTGCAGGTTAAAAGCTGGGAAATCAATCTTTTAAGAAAGTGAAACCTTTTTATTTGTCTCTTCTCAGTTTCTGAGTCAAATATGTTTTGTTGTCATTCTTGAAAGGAGGCCCTTGAATTGTGGAAACATCAGTGGACAGCGTCAGTTTTCACCAAAGATCAGTCATGGCATCCTGTGGGCGTCTATGAGAACAGGCAGTTCAGGGACCAAGATGACAGGACATAAGCCAAGGCCCTGAGGCTCTGTGGAGTCCATTGTGGATGGAACCAGGGCATTTCACAGTTGCTCCTACCATGTGGTTGAAGCCTCACACAACATGCCTTGAATCTAATCAAGCACCCCTGAAAGGGCTGGGGAGGAGGGGAGAGGAGGGATGGGTAGGAGCAGTGTAGAAAGTTCTCGAGGGTCTTGCTTTGAAAGCCCAAGTTGGAATGGGCCAATGAGGCAAAGGTGAGTGAGGAGTCTTTGTATGCTTATTCTGCCTATTTCCTACCATGGTGAACACCAGATACAGGCACCTGTATAATCTGCTGCGAGATGAGTTAGAGCTTTTCCTCTTTCAGCCTTAAGAAACAGCACTGGGCTGGGAATGTGGCTTAGTGGTAGAGAGCTTGGCTAGCATGCATGAAGCCCTGGGTTTGATTCCTCAGTACCACATAAACAGAAAAAGCCAGAAGTTTTGCTGTGGCTCAACTGGTAAAGTGCTAGCCTTGAGCAGAAGCAGCTCAAGGATAATGCTCAAGTCCTCAGTTCAAGCCCCAGTCCTGGCAAAAAAAAAAAAAAAGAACCAGTACCGCTACTACCACCTCCTTGAGAACCCTCATCCTACAAGATGACAATCCAGGCAAACTGTTTCCTTCTAGAACTTACGTCAGTGGCTCAGAAACACTGTATGCAAGTCTCATATACATGTGCATGCATGTGCATGTGCATTAACCCACACACAGACACACATCTGTACACCTTACAAATATATACACAACTCAGACATGTGTGTACTCTCACTGCACATCATGTACACACTTACTAAAATGTGCACACATCTGCTTACACAATACTGCATGTACACAGGTACCACATACACATCATAAAGATGTACATGCAATGCATATACATGTGTAGGGGTATACTTTGGCATTCAGAGACTTCTATAGAGCCACTCAGACAAAGGGAGGCCTTACACAATTGACCTCTTTGCTACTGGTCTCAGCAGGGCCCCACAGGAGAAAAGGGAGGGAGGCCATTGGGTTGGACCTCTGACCCCTGCCCAGCCAGGCTGAGGCCTGGGGACACAGAGGTCACTGGGAGTTTTCGGGGCCCTCCCTGGGGAATGCCCCTTAGGACACTCTGTAAATGC